TGGTGACGGACTCACTGGCTCTGAGCTCCAGCTATGAGGTCGCAGCTTGAAAAGTGCCAGGGACATATGGAGGGGAAATGAGTAAGTAGTCTGGCTTCAGGGTGAGGGCTAGAGGGGCAACTTTCTCCCAGACATAAGTACTGGCAGAGGGCTTTGTTCCTTTGTTGAACCCTCCCTCACTCAAGCTTGCAGACACAGGCAGGAGCCATATATGAATCTACATCAAAGAAGCTAACACTGGTTGTTCCACCCTAGTGAATTCCTAAGACCTGACCTCTCCCAACGTGCAGGCCCACACAAGCTGATTCCAGTGGATTTTCCATACAAATGACCTGTCTTAGCTCTTACTGCAAACTTCCCTAAAATCTCTCAAAGGTTCACAAAACCTAAACAAGCAGCATCTAGCTTCAGTATTCTCTGTACCTCTTGCTGAGCAGCCCCAAGCCCATCACTAGCGGAAGCCAGCTTCGGTTTGCTGCTTGGTCTCTCAAAGTACTTCCAAGCCCAGTGTGGGTGGTGGCTATCTGCAGATTACTTGGTGGCTCATGCCAGGTAATCCTGAGCAAGGCACAGGCTACAGCTAGACTTGGCCTGCAGGAGGGCATGTCCTAGGAGGCCCTGGCCTGCACACCCGGCGGCCAGCTTCTGTCTGAACTAGAGTACCACCGGGGTCACATCTGAGAATGACACACGCAGAGGGCAGACAGGGCAGGCACTAAAGCCCTGCTAAAGTGAATCCTCATCTGTAGGATCAGCCCCTATACAACATCTCCTTCACTGGTCATCAGCCCAAGAGTCAATCCCTCTCACTGATGAGCAAACAGCAACCAAGGCTCAACTACAAAAGGAGGGCACACACAACCCATACAAGACACATACCTAGAGCACCCAGCTCAAGTGACCAGGGAAGACTGTGCCACTGGGACTGACAGACACCTACTACATAAGGCTACTCTACTAAGACCAGGAGACATAGCAGCCCAACCTACTACAAAGAAACAAACACAGGGAACAGGCAAAATCAGAAGATGAAGAAACACGTCTCAAGTGAAAGAACAGAACAAAATTCCAGAAAAAGAACTGAACAAAATGGGGACGAGCAATCTACCACATGCAGAGTACAAAACACTTGGTATAAGGATGCACAATGAACTTAGGGGAAGAATAGAGGAACTCGGTGAGAAATTTAACAAAGAGATAGAAAACATAAAGGTGGAGATAGATAACATAAAAAAGAACCAGTCAAAAACGAAGACCATATAATTGAAATGAAAAATACATTAGAAGGAACCAACATTACCTTAGATGGAGAAGACTGAATCAGTGATTGAGAAGATAGGGCAGCAGAAAACACCCAATCAGAACACCAACAAGATAAAAGAATTAAAAAAAATGAGGATAGTTTAAGGATCCTCTGGGACAACATCAAGCTTACCAACACTCACATCATAGGGATAACAGAAGGAGAAGAGAAAGAGCAAGGAACTGAAAACCTATTTCAAGAAATAATGACTGAAATTTCCCTAACCTGTTGAAAGAAATAGACATACAAGACCAGGAAGTGCAGAGAGTCCCAAAAAAGATGAACCCAAAGAGAGCCACACCAAGACACATCATAATTAAAATGCCAGAGGATAAAGATAAAGATTATTAAAAGCAGCAATAAAAAAAGAGTTAGTTATCTACAAGGTAGCTCCCATAACTGTCAGCTGATTTCTCAGCAGAAACTTTTCAGGCCAGAAGGGATTGGCAGGAAATATTCAAAGTGATTAAAACAAGTACCTACAACTAAGATTACTCTACCCAGCAAAGCTATCATTTAGAATTGAAGGATAGATAAAGAGCTTTTCAGACAAGAAAAAGCTAAAGGAGTTAATCATCACTAAGCCAGTATTACAGGGAATGTTAGAAGGACTTTTTAAGAAGAAAAGAAAAAGAAAAAAGATCTAAAATATGAAAATGTCAATAACTACATATCTAGCAACAATTACTTTAAATGTAAATGGATTAAATGCTCTAATCAAAAGATAGTGTGGATGAATGGATAAGAAAACAAGACCCTTACATATGCTGCCTACAAGAAACTCATTTCAAATTGAAAGATACACACAGAGTAAAAGTAAAGGGATGAAAAAAAGATGTTTCATGAAAATGAAAACAAAAAAAATCTGGAGTAGCAATACTAATACTAGATAAAATAGACTTCAAAACAAAGGCTAAAACAAGAGACAAAGGAAGACCCAGTTATCCCACTTCTGGGTATTTATCCGAAGAAACCCAAAACACCACTTTGAAGGGACATGTGAATCCATGTTAATTGCAGTATTATTTACAGTAGCAAGATATAGAGGCATCCTGGGTACCCATTAACGGATGAATGGTAAAGAAGAGGTTATGTATATACAACAAACCGCAGCTAATAGCATACTCAATGGTGAAAAGCAGAAACTCCTTCTTCTAAGATCAGGAACAAGAAAAGATGCCCACTATCACCATTCAACATAGTATTGGAAGTCCTAACCACAGCAATTAGTCAAGAAAAATAAAAGGCATTCGAATTGGAAAGGAAGAAGTAAAACTGTTACTATCTGCAGATGCCATGGAACTATATCTAGAACACCCTAAAGATTTTACTAAAAAACTATTAGAATAAATGAATTCAGTCAAGTTTCAGGATATAAAATCAATAAACAGAAACCAGTTGTGTTTCTATACTGATTCTATTCTATTCTATATTGATATACCAATAACAATCAGAATGAAAAATTAAGAAAACAATCCCACTTACAATTGCATTAAAAAACATAAAATATCTAGGAATAAATTTAACCAAAGAGGTGAAAGAGCTGTACTCTGAGAACTACTGGAAACTGAAGAAAGATATGGAAGCAGACAGAAATATATGGAAGGGCATACCATGGTCAAGGATTAGAAAGATCGGTATTATTAAAAATGTCCTTAATACCTAAAGCAATATAAAGATTCAATGCAATCCATATTAAAATACCAACAACATTCTTCTCAGAACTAGAATAACTAATCATAAAATTTATATGGAACCACAAAAGACAATGAATAGCCAAAGTAATCTTGTGAAAGAAAAACAAAGTTGTAGTTATCATGCCCTCTGATTTCAAACTATACTACAAAGCTACAATAATCAAAACAGTATGGTACTGGCATAGAAACAGGTAAACATAGAAATGGAATAGAATAAAGAGCTCAGAAAAACAATTCTCTGTTATATAGTAAATTAATCTGTGACAAAGGAGGCAAGAATATACAATGCAGTACATAAAATCCCTTCAGTAACTGGTGTTGAAGCAATGCTTTACTATAGAATAAAAGGTGGAAAGGTCCTAATTGTCTGCACTGGTGTCTTCCATATGTGAGAACTGGGTCCAGCCCAGATAGAAGCCCTTCATAAAAACACGAGAAAAAAGAGCAGTTTACAAAACAAAGCACCAACATTAGATCACTAGGTCTGGTTTTAACAATGTGGGTTAAAAGAGTAAACTAGATATCTAAGATGTCTGAATACAGCTCAGAGTCCTTCAGTTTATAAGCTAGTTCATTATCTAACTTACTACGAGCATTGCAGAGCAATGAGAAGTGAAGTCCCTTAAAAGGAGCTCAATGCAGCCATCACATGCCATGTTCCTTGATCTTAGAGGAAGTAATTGAGTCATCCAAACTTCTCTCAGAAAATGAATTCAGTTCTCATTGGCGCACAGCCCTTTTGTTGAATAAAGGTTTAGTTTTAAGTCTTCAATCTGTAGTCTACAATGTAACGTCATATTCAGCATCCTAGTGTACCATTTTCAATTATAAAATGGCAAGTCAATTATGTACCTACATAAAATATTTGCATGACTCTACTGCCATCTTAGGGCTTTTCACTGGGAAATAATCCCAATGAGAACCCATGATTACATTATATAACACACTCATGAGCCAAGCTCACCAGTAAAATGGATTATCTGTTGGTATAACAAATATAAAATCATATTTATACATAGACACATGAAAGGGGAAAAAAAGAGGAAAAGGAGCAAATTTGGGGAAATTGGGTGAAGGATGCTACGTCACATGAAACTACTTGACATTTTAGAGCAATAGTAATTTCCAGACCTTTACATACTATTACTTGCTTACAATTCGATTATTAGAACAGCCAGAAAATAGTCTCAATGCAGAATAAAGGAAGATAAGAAAGTCTGGACAAGGCTTAAGCATTTATCTTCAGAGAAGATTCCATGTCGATGCAAAGGCTTGCATGCCCAAGTGCTATCTACTCTCTTTTTCGATTGCTCTGAGAAGTGATTATCATATATAATGTCATCTGACTGGCTTAAATAGTTAAGGCAGTACGGAAAGGTAAAAGAGTGGTTTCACACCCTCATGTGCTTCTGAAATAAAATTATGGGCTTGTCCATAGGTAGCTCTCTACATGCGAAAAGACCAGCTATTTTATGTAACATGCAACCACTAGAGACCCAGCCCAAAGCTGCATAACTCCACAGGCACACATACCACCTTAGCTAGGCAACCTGAGAGGCTGTCTAGAGATAAACTCAGGTTCTCAAGAACAGCTGGATGGAGAAAGGTTCCAAAATAGGCCCACATGTCACCTGGAAAGAGGTCATTTCAATTTTCAATTTTCACCCCAAATTTTCTAACTTTGGGAAAAAGCATGATAATTATTTGGCCTCAAATAGAATTGTGTTAGCAAGTCATGTTGACAATGTGGAGAAAAATCTTAAAAACCCTGAAAAATCTCTGCCAAGATATCCAAATGGCACTTGCTAACATTTTTTGAGGTACCTGTGTGGGAGAGCTCAGAAGTACTCTTGCACCAAAAATAAGTGTTTCCAGCCTTCACATTCTAAGACTACTCTTGTAAGCTGAGTGAAGCAGGAAGTAAGAACATCAAACTGACAGCATATTCTTGAGTTAAAAAATAAATAAATAAATAAATAAACTTAATCTGTGATTTCTACCTGTTTTCTTGATTACCATCCAAATAAAGAAGTATAAGCTTGATCCTGGTCTCTCAAGGCCTCTTCTTTTTTGTCGATGGCAGGACTCGATGTCTCTATGTGTCAAGAGCACAGAGGGCACAACTGTGACAAGACTGTGAAGCACCAGCACACACTGAGTTACTCAAAGTTGGAGGTCTTTAATCAGCTCATGATCTCTCTCTTGGCTTTTACATTGTAGGTTTTCAATAGATATTTGCTGGCCCTTGAATGTTCATGGTAAAGAAGCTACTGGCTGGACCATGCTGCACCATTAACCTTTTCTGAGGCTATTATTTTACAGTTTCTTAATCTCAACAAAAGTCACCGACCCAAATATCCTTTAAGAATCACCTCTCAGTTTAAGCCCTAATAGGAAACCCACTGCTTCTTGATCCCAGGTTTTTATGAAAGTTAAAATGGTAATAGGATTTGAATTTGGAATAGAAATAGCTTTTCTTCCTTTCCATGCCTTTTCTCCCTTACTGCCTTTTGATTCAGACATCTTTAATTAATTGAGCAGACCTGGAACCTGAAAAAGTAAAGTTTTTTTCAAAGCCTATTCTCATTTAATCAGCATTCCAGAGTTGGACCCCTCACTAGCCCTAATACCTCCCCAGGCTTGGCATCGTGTCAAATGCTTTCTCTCATTTTGCATTTGGGGGTCTAGAATCTTAAGCTGCTGGTAGTCCCTCGATGGCTTTCCTGTAACCTGTTATTAATTGCTAATATTAGAAGTTTGTCCTATTATATAGACTCAAACATCTTCTAGTGGATATCCATCCTATACATGACACGATGACATATTCTCTTAGTAAATAATACTGTGTGTTAAAATTCTCTAAGAGAGTAATGATTTATTGCCGTGGAGGTAATGCATGCCAAGTGGTCTCTGGAATAATATCTATATCCTGTATCTGTTACCGATTATACTGCTTAAATGATTCTTCCAAAGTAGGTCTCCTAGTCCCAAAATTATATACAATATTTTTAGTCAAATTTGGCTTGTTTATATATGACAAAACTTAGAAAAATGTTCATCAGGTAAAAGTTGGAGATGTAGACAATAGTTTCTAATACATCTTTCTCCACTTTTATAACAGCTCAAGTCTACAGCTTGAGTGATGGTCCAATTATACTCCACTGAAAGGTTAATTAAATTAATCTTTCAGTGAAGGCTGGTTAGGTAACAAAGACAATAACACTGAAGAAGTTACTGGAATTTGGCTAGGGAACACAGGTATTCAGAGTGGAACACTACTTTAGCATCTCACACACATAATGAGCCAGTAAGATTTTTGTACAAATTGAGAATGTTAAGGTTTTTAGCAAAAACTCAAATATACTTATTACCTAACATCCCATCTTCCCATCTGCATTTCATGTACAAATGGCTTTGTGGTGGATTTTTCCAGAATTTTCTCAAATCCTTTTCTATGGACATTTCTTGCCCCATTCCTGCAGGTCCTCCAGGATGCCAAGCCAGCATACTCACTTCTAAGTGAGGTACCAGGCCATGGAGAATGGGAGGGCAGGTCCTTCAGCAGTGTGTGGGGAGGTGGCTCTGACTTCTTCAAGTATCAGCTAGCTTAGGCGGTTTGATTGCTCCATTGTTTCCTTTCTCATGGGAGTCCAAGGGTGGGTTCTAGAGTTTGATTGCTCCATTGTTTCCTTTCTCATGGGAGTCCAAGGGTGGGTTTTAGAGACTGATCCCCTGAAAGAGCTCTTCAATATTAATAGCATTTTTGCACTTGTTTTGACCACCATGGCACCTACAGATTCACATATTCCTTTGTATCCTTCAAAGGAACCTCCCTAATATCTGAGGGATCACATTTGTTCCCAGCAATAGCCATTAGAATGTTTTCTGGACCACGTTCTTTCACCAATTCTTCAAGGTAAGGAATGACTCCTGTTTGGTAACATCATACACTATGACATCTGTAAAGGATCCATGATAGTACATGGGAGCCAGTGAATGAAACTGTTCCTGGTCAATGGTGTCCAAGATGAGGAACTTATGAAGTTCATTTCCACAAGGCACGGTTTTGGTCATAAAAGATACCCCAGCGTCAGGCCGATGTTGTAGTCAAAGTAATCTTGGACAAATTGACATACAATACTTGATTTCCAAAATCTGTTGGCCCTCGAGGAGACACACTTTGAGCTCCTGTATGGCTCTCATGTACTCCAGGCATCAGGCAGGGGCTCAGCATCCTCTGGAGCCAGCCCTTGCCACACCCTCACCAAGCCAGCATACATACTCCAGTCTCCAACTTTCTCTTTTGGTGCCCTAGGGCAAAACAACCGCAGCTGATACTTCTGGGCTGCTGGGACCCTCAATAACCCACTTTCAACAAAAAGCAGGCAATCCAGAGAGAAAAAATTAATAATAAAATATTTCATTTAAATAACATATTAGACCAGATTGAGTGAACAGACATTTATAGGACATTCTATTCAAAACCAGCAGGATACACATTTTTATCAAGATCACATGGAATATTCTCCAAGACATCATATTTTATGACACAAAATACTTCATAACTGAAGAAAATTAAAATATCAAAAATATTTCAGTATAAAAAGTAACAACTACTGCTATTTCTCAAATATACATACATACATACATACATACATACATACATACATACATACATACATACATCGAGGCAACTTCTCCCCCTTAGAGCAATGCTATTCTCAATCATTTCTTATTCTGTGAATATCTTATTTTGAATAAAAAGTTACTAAACCCATTTTTAGGGCAACATTTTTTACCTGACAGACAAATCTTCCAAATTTTCTAATATCATCTCCTTTCTCAAAAATTGAAATGTATGTCTATGGAAAAATCTATCTTTATGGAAATACAATGCTGTATTGAGGCTTTTACTTGTTAATTATATTAGGAGCAATTTCTTCTTTGTCTCATTACCACTTTCTTAGTGCTTTTTCCTTTCTTTATATTTCTCATCTGATTTTTCTCATTTTTTATACCTCACTTATGCATATCATTTCTCAGTAGCTTAACATAGTTAACACTTAAGACTTCCCAATAGAGTCTAGTAGGAATGCATTCCATTGTGAAAAAAAAGCTTTTGCCAAGGAAGCTAAAGAAGACACAAGAGAATTTAAAGAAACATCTATTTTCCTGTCTTTATATGCCTGAAAGGAACCTGCTGCCTAGAAGAAAATCTATTTAGTTCTACAGTATAACTAGTTATGAGCTTAGACCAAAATCACTAACATTCAAAGAATCATATTATGCCATTGACTAGAGCCATCTTTCATTTTTAAGAATTGATATAAGCTTCAGGTAGCTGTAGAGTCCATTTGCCCACTGTATACAATAGTTTTATATAAGCTAAAAAAACAAAGGCAATGAAGAATTGATTCAGAATGGTCCAGCATTTGACATATCACCATAGGCTGTCCTACAATACAGCCTCTAACAAAACTAGTTGTCCCAAACCCCTGGTGATAGAACTGTTCACCTTTTTACAAGAAAAAAAAATCTTATCAGACAACAATGGTATGAAAGTAGAAATCAATTACAAAAAGGAAACTGGAGAATTCACAAATGTGTGGAGCCTAATAACATGATACTTAAAAACCAAAGGGTCAAAGAATAAACCAAAAGAGAAACTTAAAAAAACTTGAGACAAATGAAAACTGAAATAAAATATACTAAAATTTCTGGGATGCAGCAAAAGCAGTTCTAATAAAGAAGTTCATATTAATAGACACTAATGTTAAGAAACAAAAAAGATCTCAAATTAACAAGACAATTTTACACCTCAAGGAACTAAGAAAGAAAAACCTATTCCCTTTTAGAAGGAAGGAAGCCCTTTTAGAAGGAAAGAGACAACAAAGATTAGAGTGAAATAAAATGAAATAGACAGCAGAAAAGAAAATAGAAAAGATAAATAAAACTAAGAGCTGATTTTTTGAAATGAAATATAGAATAGACAAACCTTTAGCTAGACTCATAAAGAAAAAAAGAGAAGGCTCAAATAATAAAATCATAAAGAAGACATGTTACAGCAGATACCATAGAAATATAAAGAATCCAAGAGACTATTATGAGCAATTTTCCAACAAATTGGAAAACTTAGACTAAATCGATGAGTTCCTGGAAACATACAATCTTCCAAGAATGAATAAGAAAAAAAATACAAAATACGAATTATAGTTACTATGAAGGAGATTAAATCAGTAATCAAAAGCCTCCACAAAAATAGAAGTCCAAGACAACATGGCTTCATTGTTGAATTCAATCAAATATTAAAAGACAAATACAATCCTTCCTAAGCTTTCCAAAAAATAGAAGAGAATGGAGCATTTCCAAATTTATTTTGTGAGACCAGTATTATCCTGATGCCAAAACCAGAAAAAGAAACCACAAGAAAAGAAAATTATTTTCCAAATATCACTGATGAATATACACATGAAAATTCTCAACAAAATATTAGCAAACTGAATTCAGTAGCACATGAAAGTGATCATATGCTAGGATCAAGGAGGATTTATTTCAGGGGTGCAAGGGTGTTTCAACATCCACAAAAGAATCAATATGATATACAACAGTAACAAAATAAAGGATAAGATCATATATATAATCAACTCAATAGATGCAGAAAAACAATTTGGCAAAATTAATCATCCATTCATGATAAAAGAAAAAACTCTCAACAAAGTGAGTAAAGTGGGAATGTACCACAACATAATGAAGACTATACATGACAAGGAAGAACAAATGAAGCAAAGTCAGCAGAAGGAAAGAAATCATCAAAATTAGAGGAGAAATAAATGAAATTGAAAACAAACAAATAAACAAAAAACAATAGAAATAAATAAATGCAACAAAGAGCTGGTTCTTTGAGGTTAGTAAAATTGACAAACCCATAGCTATACTCACTAAAGAAAAAGAGAAAGGACACAAATGACCAAAATCAGAGATGAAAGAGAGGAAATTATGACAGACACTGCCGAAATACAAAGGAACATGCAAGAATTATATGCAAAAGTATATAACACCAAATTTAATAAGAAGAAATGGACTGCTACGTAGAAA